CCTTCCCTCTCGTGTTTATAAACTATGTTATTTATATGTAGTAATGTGTGCTCACAGTAAAGAAAAAAAGCCAAACAGTGCAAAACCATAATAAGTAAATAGAATGTGTAATTTCCTCTTCCCTAAAACCCACTTCTTAGAGCGAACTACCAAGTAAGAGTTTCCTGTGTTTCTTTTCAGAATCTTTTTGAAAGAAATTCAAATTTTGTATACATTTTCATGTAATTATGTCTATATAAATTATATACATAAGTTTTATGTTTATTTTATACACACGGATAAGACTACAGCATATAGACTGTTTAGCAACTTGTTCTTTTAGTTGATAATACGATTTTTTTACAGCTAATTGTTTCTTTTAATCTCTAGGTAGCAATACAGTTTTAAAATACTTGAATTTCTTTAGCCTTTTTAATGGATTATTTTCAATTTTTTTATCATTCATTCATTCACTTAATATATATTTATTGAACCACCTACTATGTGCTAGACAGTCTTCTAGACATAGGGATTCAGTGGTGAACATAGCAAGCCATTGCCCTTGTGGAACTTATATTCTTATAAGCAGCACTACAGAATATGTTATTTTTACTTGCTTATGTGAGTCAATCTGTAGTATAAATTGTTGGGCAAAGAATTACTGGGTCAAAGGGTATACAAATTTAATGATAAATTTACAGTAGTTTTTGTCAAATTGTTTTCAACACAAGTTGTACCAGTTTACATTATCACTACACCCTTACGAACATTAGATAATATTTATAATCTTTGTCAATCAGGCAAAATATTCCTCATTTTGATTTACATTTATTTACTTATTAGTGAAGTATTCACATGTAAGCCATTGATAGTTCTTCCATTAATTGTCTATTAATGTAATTTTCCTATTTTTCTATTGGGTTATGTTTTTGATAGTTGACTTATTATTATTGATGATATACCCTCCTAGTATGCTATTGATCTTTTAACTCTTGTTTATGGTGGTATTTTTTTTTTCAATGTAGTCAAATTTGTTAATCTTTTCTTTTATGGCTCCTGATTTCACATCATATTTAGAAAAGAACTTGCGTCAGCATTCTATGTTTACTTCTAACATTCTTCTTTATATTTTACATTTAAATATTTACTATACCTGGGATTTACTTTCATAAAGGTATTTAATTTTATTTATATTAAAAAAATGATGTTGAGTTGATAATCTACCATTTTACACTGATTCGGAGTACCACCTTAATATCTCCTAGTGTATAGTCCTATACTAAATATACATGGGTCTGTTATCTGTGCTGTTCCAGTGATCTTTTATTCTAATACCAAGGATGGTTTTTTAATTTACACTGATTATGTAGCTTTTTCTCTTTTTCAAACATTTCTTGGCAGTTTTCGTATATTTACTCTTCCAGATGAACCTCAGAAACTAGATTTTAAGAATCTATATTTTATCTTGTTTGTGCTTTTATAATTTTTATAAGCCATTTCCAAGCTCTTGAGAATAAGGCCGATATTAGTTAGTTAATGTAAAATCAAGGCCAGTGGAAGCATTCCTGCGCCACCTGATTTACTAGAAACAAGTTCCAGAAAAAGAATGAAAATTTCCCCCCACAAAACACTTATTTACTCCTTTATTATTGTGTAAGGAATATGGTTTTTTTGGTGACAAGGAAACATAAAAACCTGTGTGCTTTCAGAGAATTCGAAGAAAGTCAGGTTGTTAATAAGATTTACTTTATAATAGAAAGCAGTCTTTGGGGAAAAAAGAACTTCTGATGTTAGTGTTTTTGGTAGAACCTGGAAAGAAAATTAGTACCAACAACCTTAATGCCCTAAAAAAAAATGTATAAAATGAATGCTGACTGAGGCAGAAAAGTGGGACTGGGGTTGAACTAATTAGGAATCCCTGTGTTTTTCTTCTATAAGGTTATTATTTTCTCTCAATTTCTCACTCTCGCTCCCCACCTCCACCCCCTCCCCCGTGTGTGTGTGTGTGTGTGTGTGTGTGTGTGTGTGTGTGTGTGTGTGTTAGGTGGTGTGCAGGAGGATGGAAGAGGAGGTGGGGAGGACGCTTGTGAAATAAACATTTGTTTTTTGTATGAAAAGATTGTGAACTAACAATTTGGAATCACTAGTCATTATAATCTCCTTGTGGGTATTTGCACTTAAGGTATCATCTTTTCTTTCTTTCAGAAAATAGGAAAATAACAACCAAGCCTGATCCTAAGCAACACCTTAAGATTATTCAGGATCCTGAATACAGACGGCTCGGCAGTACTGTAGATATGAACATTGCGCTAGCGACTTTCATACCACATGAGTATGTTATGTATTTTTTCTGTGAAATAAAGAATAATATTACTTATAAACCTTTATGGCTAGTATTATTTTCATATTACTTATTAAAAGTTTGAATGGAAAATGAAATAACGTAATTTGCCGTAATCCTACTACTGCAAATGCGTGACATTTCCCTCGTTTTCTGTGTGCTGGTCCATGTTCTATATGCATATGTAAAATTTTTACAATTGGAAAACTTCTTCAGCCATACTTGAGATCCTGATTAATATATTTAAAGAATCTATGATCCTTGTTAGAAAATTTTTAAATGTGGAATTTGTAAAACCATTAAATAATAAGTTTGTATTGCTCTGTCTGCTCTAGCAATGGGCCAGCCGCAGTTGATGAATGCTGTAACTGGTTCCGAAAGAGAATTGAGGAATTAAATTCAGAGAAACATCAACTCATAAACTATCATCAGGAACAGGTCTTACCAACTTTTCAACTGCTGTTTTTCTTTATCTTAATACTATTTGTTGTTGTTGATGTCACATTAAATTATGTTTTCTAGGCAGTTAATTGCCTTTTGGGAAATGTGTTTTATGAACGACTGGCTGGCCATGGACCTAAACTAGGACCTGTCACTAGAAAACATCCTTTAGTCACTAGGTATTCCGTTTTTGTTTTCTTCACATTAAAGGTTAAAAATTGAAAATTGTATTTAACTTTTCAAATTAACCTAAGTGTTTTCTTTAATGTGTGACTCTCAGTACATTTCTTAAATTGAAATATTGTAGTTGTAATTTGGTAACTAGGATTAATATTAATGTTGTTAGTCAAATCTTTAGTTAAAGAACCAATTAATAATTATTTACATTAATGTTTCTGGAGGACTGCATACTTACTAATAATTTCAGTATTACTCAAATTGAGCAAGCATTTAGCTTCTCTGAAGTAATGTGCAGTATAGATTAGACAACTAAAGTGTGTAGTAAAGTAACATCAATACCTCGGTGATTTTCTTAATAATTTAATGAGGTTTTTAAAGTTACTTAAAATGTTGACAACATATGCTATATGTAATGCTAACTCTGCATTCCTCAAACCCTACTAGATTTACTTAAAAAGTCTACTGATGATTTTTGACCTCTGAATGGTGGTCAAACTAATCTTACTTATTCTGTTAGGGAGGAAATTTAATTTTAATAGTGCTAATTCAAATTCTGTCCAAAGGGTTTCTCTGTATAGATTTAATATTTAATTGTATCTTCATAGATATTTTACTTTCCCGTTTGAAGAAATGGCCCTCTCCGCAGAAGAATCTATAATTCATCTCCCGAATAAAGCTTGTTTTCTGATGGCACATAACGGATGGGTAATGGGAGATGATCCCCTTCGAAATTTTGCTGAGCCGGGTATGTCATTTTTGTTAACTTCTGTATGGATAGGGAAATGCAAGCTCATGGTAAGCTCAAAATATAAACTTTTATTGATTTTTTCCCCCCTAGTTGGCTAGTAGTTTTTAAACTGTTTTATCACAGAGGTGCCAGAGGTGCATACAGTTTGGGAGAAGATAAGGGATTGACAAAAGAGTGGGATTCATCCTTCACCTCCTCTCCTTTCCTATGCCTTATCCCCTCAAACAGAATAGCTTTTATATATCTTTTATTTTCTGGTTCTGCGTAAGATTTTATTTGTGCAAAAAATTTATTCTATTGCATTTTTAAAGAAAATTGAACCACTGCTATTGTCATTATATTGCAATAAGAGGTATTGTCACTCATCCAGAGGAATATTAAGGTATTTAAAAATATCAGTTAAACTAGAAACTAATTATTTTTAGGTTCCCTCTCACTTATTCCTAACATCTTATTTTTCTACAGCTGTTTTGTGGCGGGGAAGAATTTTCAGGGAACGCATCAATATATTTACTATTTAACATTTCAGAACTAGAAGTCTGATTTAATGACATTAGATTTAATTTAAAAATCTCATTTTTAAAAAAAGAATCTAACTTTGGTCTTAAGTATCTCTACCCCTCTCCTTTCCAGCCATTTTAAATGGAAAAAAAAAAAAATCTGCTCTGTGTCATGGATTTAATGTAACCTATTGCCAAAAATTACTAGCAAGGTGGGGGTGGAGCTTTAAATGTTTTTGGTAGAACTGTAAAGGGCCAATGATATTACTATTACTGTTTTTCTTTAAGAAGCAACTTGAATTTTTGACATTAAGCACACATTTTTAGAAGAGACTATAAGCTAGAATTTAACTAAATAGATGAGATATAAATTAATATTAACTTTAAAGACTTTATCCCACACCATTTTAGATATAATTTTATCCAATATATGGTTTATGGTGGAACTAGTCGATGTGATTTAATACTAACAGTGTTTCCTTGAAGTAATTTTTTTTTTCATTTTATTTCTTGAACCATTGAAAGTAAGCTCCTTTCTTAACAGGTTCAGACGTTTATCTGAGGAGAGAACTCATTTGCTGGGGAGACAGTGTTAAATTACGCTATGGGAATAAACCAGAGGACTGTCCTTATCTCTGGGCACACATGAAAAAATACACTGAAATAACCGCAACTTATTTCCAGGGAGTACGTCTTGATAACTGCCACTCAACACCTCTTCATGTAGCTGAGGTACAGAAAAACAATTCATCTACATTGGGAAAAGAAATTCAGTGCTGTTTCTTAGCTTTCCTTAAATAGGGTATGTTTCCTTTTGCTCCTTGAACACCAGCATTGATTTGGTGGTCATGTTTAAAACTTGTGCATAATTTGCATAATTCTAGCAGGATCTTTGGGTGTGGTTGTAATGGAATATTGGGCTATAAAATGTTTGAGTTAATATTTTTATTTTAAGTAAAGGAAGTAGATCACATTGTCCCTTTTAGTATATATATATACAACCATATGTATGTTATCAATATATTGTTAATTTTTTAAAAGAATTCATATTATTAATTGGAATCTAAAAATAACAATAAGACAAATCAATATAATTAAAATGTTATTGTTATAATCATTTTAATATACTACTTTTTATTCTTTTATATTAGTTAATATAATTTATGTCAGTTTTATAGTAATTATTTTAATGATGAATTTATATTTTAGTATAATTATAGTTATAATACATATATTTATAAAAATATAAATATTAATTTCTTTTATTCTTGTCATTTTTAGGTTGCCTTCAATATATTAGTGAAGTTGAGTAGCTTATTAATTTATAGTGATTAAACACTAACATAACATACTGAAGCTAGTTTTAGCCTCATTGATTTAATTTTTTACTAATTCTTTATAAAACCATAAGTGTACACACAAAGATTGTCTATTCCTCTTTGGGCTTTTTACAGTAACTTAAGCAATGGCAACATTGATAGCATCATCTTCTACCTAATATAGCTTTATAAACACTTATAATTTTCATCCTGTTTGTAAGATTTTCAATAGCTTCCTAGTGACAACTTAGTGTTCTTTGGAAATGTGTGTTTATCTGAAAAATATCTATTGATATTTCTATAATTTTAAACCAGTATTATATATGTTTTGAGTTCTGTGATGAATTTAATTTGGAGGGTTAGTGAGGATTAGTTAAGGTGGTTGAACAAAAAAAATAGCAGTGTTTTTTTTTATTGTGCCTTTAGCAAAAAAAAAAAATTTATATACTTGTAAGATTGTTACAATGTTATGGCAAAACAGATGTTAAAACTGAATTAAGCTAAAATTTAAGTTAGAAAATCCTGTAGGATCCTACTTGTTAGCTGATAGAATTTCAAGTATTTTATTAACCTTTGTGCAAACATTATGTTAAAATTTTGGAAACACTTTACTTTCTGATTAAGATTAAGAGTTTATCGTCATGTGTGGGAAAAACTGGCTTCGTCTAGTCAGTCAGACCTAATCTTTGTAGTAGATAATGATTCACCAGTAGGGAATTTATCAGTGATGGCCTAGTCAACTGTTTGGAAATTAAGAGTCTGATTAGAGGTATTAAAAACAAATACACATAAAACTGGGGAAAAGCCCAGCAGAATTGCAGTGTTCTGGTCTGCGTTTTTTAATGTGACACTAACATTTTTCTAATTCCTTTTTTTCCCCTCTTGTGTTCCTGTTATCTTTGGAAAACCTAATCTTCCTTTTTAACTGTTTTATTCTTTTTATAAATTCTCTTGTTTCTTGTGTGTATTATTCTCTTTTATGTTTTTTTACATATGCACAATTTATTCGGAAATTCTTCTTGGGTTTCCAATGTATCTTGCTATGTGATTATTTTCCTATATCAAATACATGCCTAGCCTCGCCTCCTCTGCTTCCCTCCCATCTTGCTTTTTTCTTCCAGTTACATTTGTGACTGTGTTTTTTGCAGTACATGTTGGACGCTGCTAGGAAATTGCAACCCAATTTATATGTAGTAGCGGAATTGTTCACTGGAAGTGAAGACCTGGACAATATCTTTGTTACCAGACTGGGCATTAGTTCCTTAATAAGAGGTAAGCTTGCTGAAGTGTTTTCCCATCTAAAACTTTCTTTTCTTTAAGTGGATTAAAAGGCATTTCATAGCTTTATATGCAATTTTTAATAATATGCAACATAGTTCATGTTCGTTTAAATATTCTACACAAAATGTTCTAATATAACTCTGTTTTTATCAGTAATATTTTTTACTTTGGGGTAAAATACCTCATTTTAAATTGAAAGACCAGTGGGATGGATCATGAACAAAACCATTTTCTTGTTGAAAACAGAGAAATCTGTTTTCATCTCCTACTTGTTTATAGATATAATCTTGAGACTTTTTTCCCATAGATTTTATATAACCTACATCCTAATAAACAACATATGTTCCCTTTTACTTACATCAGCCATTTTCCCTGTTAAGTTATAGAGAAGACTTTTTTGTCGCTTAAACTAATGGACATTTGTTTAAGTCGTTAAAGCAGTTTTGTTTTTGATATTTATGTGATCTTTTTTTGAAAGTCAGTCATGATAGATTTCTATCTAACCTCTTCTTGGACATGAATAGTGAAGATTAAAATATTCTGTAATGCTCTGCAGAAGCGATGAGTGCATATAATAGTCATGAAGAGGGCAGATTGGTTTACCGTTATGGAGGAGAGCCTGTTGGGTCCTTTGTTCAGCCCTGTTTGAGGCCTTTGATGCCAGCTATTGCGCATGCCCTGTTTATGGATATTACCCATGACAATGAGTGTCCTATTGTGGTAAGAATCTATTTTGTTTCTTGTATTTACTTACTTTGCTAAATGTTTTCTTTTAGATTATTTTTATTGGGGAATTAGGGGAGAGGAACAGTGTTGGGGAGTTGGGGAAGGGGAACAGTGTTGAGGAATTGGGGGAGAGGAACAGCCAAGTTGTTGTCCTTCAGTCTTAGTTGTGGAGGGCGTAGCTAGCTCAGCTCCAAGTCCAGTCGCGCCACTCAGCTCAAGGTAGTGTGTTCAATTAGTTGTGGGTGGGCGTAGCCACCATCCCATGTTGGAGTCCAACCAGCAGCCTTGTTGTTAAGAGTGCACGCTCTATCCACTGAGTCACCTGGGCGGCAGCTCAGATCAAGGGGCTGAGTTCAGCCTTTAGTTGTGGTGGGTGTCTCAAACAGGCAACCTTGTTAGGAGCACGTGGTCTCCCCACCTGAGCCATTCTGCCACCTGTTGGCAGCTCAGCTGCAGCTCACCTTGGGCACAGCTCACTGGCCCATGAGGGAATCCAGCTGATGACCCTGTTGCTCAGAGCTCACACTCTTGAGCAAGCTCTTAATCAACTGAGCCGCTCGGCCAGCCCTGCTAAATGTTTTGATATTTAGTTCTCTGAGCTTAGTGGCAATGATATTACATACTTCAAAATAGTGTCTTAGGGGGCCAACCGAGTGGCTCGGTTGGTTAAGAGCTCACTCAAGAGTGTGAGCTCTGAGCAACAGGATCTCAGGGTCACTTCCCGGCCCGAGCTGAGCTGCCACTGAGCTGTCAACAAGTGGCAGGATGGCTCAGCTAAAAAGAGCAGGTGCTCCTAACAAGGTTGCCTGTTCGACTCCCGCATGGGATGGTGGGCTATGCCTGAGCTGAGCTGCTGCTGAGCTGCCAACAGGTGGCAGAATGGCTCAGCTGGTGATAGC